AAAATGCTGAAAACCGTTATTTTTCTATACAATAAAACAAGTAAATGGTGGTGAAGCGGTTTTTCCCACCAGCCAAAATGCTTGCCCAAAAGTGCATTTCAATAAAAATTGTTGAAAATATCATGGAGACAATGACTGATATCAGCTCAATACGTTATTAAGAAGACCTGGTACCAAAGTGAAAGTTGATGTATTATTTATTTTAGAGGGGTTCTTATACCTTTATTCACTATTATAGTAATATGATTATCTACAACTTTCTTACTATTTAATGGACTATATTGTTCATTTTATTACAATAAATAGATGTAACATTTTGGGATTTAAGCACATACTTTTATAAAGAAGAACAAAATAACTATAAACATTGATAAATTTATTATAATTTATACTATAACTTGTTTCAAAAATTGATCAAATGATCTGAAAAGTAATGAAAACTACTCAACACTTGTATAATTCAAAAGAGATACACAACGACAACCACGGCTTCGATACGTTGTGTCAAATGGATCAATTCATGTTCATTCTATTCGGATCTGAGCATAAGTAAAATGATAATTATGGTTTTTATTATTATTTAATAGTAAATTTATTAATTTTATTAGTAAATTTTAGGTGCAGATATGGTTAAATTATAATAATAAATAGTTAATTTATTATTTAATATAATTCCATTTTAATCTTTCTCAATGTCATTAATTATAATATAAATCATAGATTGACAATAGATTAAACATTTAAAAACAAAATTATTTTTCATTTAAAAATATCTAATCGAAATTATTACATAATACACTAACTTTATTAATAATTAAAATTTACATAGTTGGTATTGTTTTATCGCAAACATGATCTAGAAAAAAAATGTAAGTTCTATTTTTACCAATTATAAGGGTTTATAAGGAGATCTCCAAAAGTGACAATATCAAATTATCTCGTTCATTGCAAGGTCAAACAGTTTGTTTATTATGTTTAACATCATCAAAACCACGACAATGACAACTTAGACTTGAACTCATGTGTTTATGAAGACAAAATAAAGCACAAAAAACAACAATGACAAAAAGACTTAATTTAATTTACTCTGAAAATAAGAAAGACGATGAGGCAGACTGCAAAGATGATAATTTGGTTTGTTAATTCATACGATATAAGACTAACAAACACTGCGTTTACTACACTAATATATTATAATAAAATTTAATTAAAAATTTATGTATATTTGGTTATATGTCTGACGATTGTAAGCTGTTTCCCGTTTTCTTTAAAATAAATTCTGTAATAACTCAGCTTTTCATTGTAATATAAATAGACTTTAACTGCCTTCTTCTAAACACTTCGAAAAAATGCTCAGGCAAAATGAAAATGATGTTATTTTCTTTTTGTTTAAATAAAAAAAAATAAAATCAAATAACATTTAGAAAACATTTTACCATTATTCACCAAAAATTATCAAAAGCGGGTTTTTTCCTGAAGCGGGTTTTCCACCCCTTTATTGTATTTTAATTATAAGAACATTCTTAATTAACCAAAAAACTGAGACTGAACCTTTTTTCATTCAACAGCTTTTCAAAGAAGAAAAAAGAAAATGGGTGCGGGTTTTTCTCCAGGTGTGGGTTTCTCTCCTCGCTTTAATGGTATCAATTAGGCTGAAATAAATATATTATTTTATTAAAATAACTGAAATAGTCAAACCATGTTATATTCACAGCAATTTGTTTATGTTTTAATATTCTTACTAAAAATGGTTAATAGCCAAATCTCAGATGTTTGTCAATGTACACCAAATGGCAACGACGAAACAAATGGGTTTTCCCAAACCAATGGATTCAGTTGTTTAGATAAATATTTACAAGTGTTTTGTTTTAATAAAGATTTTACCTTTTCAAGTGGGTCGAAATTTTATAAAATTATTACACAAAGTTCTCTAACTTTCAATACATCTGGGTCTTTATACACGACTTCTACCCGATTTCTGTCTTTGGAAAACAATGTTATTAACTTTAGATTGCTATTTCACTTCGAATATTTATTTCAATTAAAAAGAAAATCAACGGTGATAATTCAAAATGTTTGAAATGTAATTCACAGACTCGGTTATTGAATGGTATATGTCTTAATATAACATCAAATTGCCAAAGATTTAATTCTGAAAATATTTGTGAATTGTGCAAAAATGGGTATTATTTGAATGATGATTTTGAGTGTGAACCATTTCAAAACTGCTGTGTTATTGGTGATAAAAATACATATTACAAATGTTTAAATGATAAAGTGTTGGACAAAAATGGCAATTGTATTTTAAATATCAATTGCATAGTGTCAAATGGTAATTCTTGTTTAAAATGTTCATCAGGAGATATGAAAAAAGAGTGTAACAATTGTGGGGACGACATTTGTTATTTTTGTGAAAATGAAATGTGTTTAATTTGTTTTAAAAACCAATTTCTCAATGAGTTGGGGTTTTGTGGGAATGATGGAATATCACATGTAATAGGAAATAAAGTACTTTATTGTACTGATGGTTCATTTATTTCAAATTCTACGTGTCAAAAGTGTGTTCAAAAAGATATAAATTCAATTAGTTGTGACAAAACACAATCAACTTCTTGTAAAACCAATTACTATGCAAATTCAGATGGAGAATGTGAGTTAAAATATTGTGCATTAAATGATAATAAAGACCAAAATGGAAAGTGTGTTACAAAACACGAAAATTGTTCATCATATGTTAATCAGAAATGTGTTGAAAGCCATGAAAATTATAACATGAATAATGAGAAAAATTGTGTAAAAATGACAGAAATTTTGATAGATAACTGTGTAAAAATGGATATTTGGGGGTGTTTGATTTGTGAACCAGGATATTATAATAATGACAATAACTGTGTTAAATGTGATAAAATATACACTTCTTGTGTATCAAAAGCAGTATGGTGGATTATTTTGATTATAGTTATATTTTGTCTTTTAATGATTGTTTTGGTCACCACAACACTTGTTTTCTTGTTTAACATAATCCAAAATAGTAAACGAAAAAATGAATTGGAAAAAACCACTACTGTTTTTTCTATTAAAAAATCGAATATTTGTTTTATTCCAATTGGCAATGGGTTAGGTGTGAATACGACAGAAATTAATTTTAATAATAAAGAAAAGGTGAATGTCAATGAAAAACTCCGTGAATTGTTATGTGTTGGGAACACCACAAAACACAACGTGAAAATCCAAATCTCATATAAATCTTCAGAAAAATTTATATTTGAATCCAACCCACAAATTATATTTCTAGGGGAAGGGGAAGCTTATGAATTTGAGATATTTGTCACACTTTATTGTACTTCAAAAATTCAAAGCGAATTTCTTCTCATTTCGAATTCTTTAAATAACAAATAAGAAATTTATAATAAAAATAATTATAATGTAACATTTAAATTACAATTCAATTCAATCGACAAGAATTGACCCAGATGAATTAAAAGTTGAAAAGAAACTTGGTGAAGGTTCTTTTGGAATTGTTTACAAAGGGAAATACAGAGGAAATGTTGTTGCAATTAAAAAATTAAAAAGTCTAAGTGATTATGAAAATGTTGTAACAGAGTTTGAGAAGGAAGTTGATATGTTGGTGAAATTTAGAAGTGAATATATAGTGCACTTCTATGGAGCTGTTTTTATACCAAGCAAAGTGTGTATTGTCACTGATTTTTCTCAACATGGAAGTTTGAACGACTTGATAAATCACAAAACAAGTGATGAAGCTAAGATTATAATCCGTTTAAAAATAATGATAGACGCATTTAAAGGAATTCTGTATTTACACAACAATGGGATATTACACAGAGACATTAAGCCAGACAATTTTTTTTATATTTTCACTTGATATTAACTCTAAAGTAAATGCTAAACTGACAGACTTTGGGAGTAGTAGAATTATTATTATGCTGCTGACAAACATGACATTCACAAAGGGAATTGGGACACCAAAGTATATGGCACCTGAAATTTTCAAACAAGATAAATACAAGAAGCCAGCTGATGTATATTCGTTTGCGATTACTATGTTCGAATGCTTTAATTGGCAAAAAGCCTACTCTAATATGGAGTTCAAGTTTTCATGGAAAATCGCCGAGTTTGTTATTTTCGGCCATAGACTTGATAACAATCGAAATATACACCATAAAATATATATGATTATTCAAAAGTGTTGGATCCAAAAACCTAACGATCGAATCGATATAGAAAATGTTATAAAAGAACTTCAGGATGTTTCAATTTAATTACGGTTATATTTATTGAATATAAATTAAACTTTTAAAATAAAAATCATAATTATTTGTTGTTTTTATACAATAATATACAGAAAATACACCTATCAAAAAAACAATTATTACTTTATTATCAAAAGTTTTAATATGTATGTTAATTGGTTGTATTAAATAAAAAAATAATTGATTCAATCAAGTTAATTAAGTTGTTTGTTTTTTACAACGATGTTACATGTGTTTTTAAAAAGAAAAAAAATATTTGGGTCTTAATTTTTTGTTTAATTATATTAAAATAATAATGATTAATAACAACAAAAACTACCCGGTACAATAATTGGTGAAAGCAAATTTATATACTAAACAGAAATTGTTATTTAAAAATTACAAAATTTCATAGTATATTTTTTAATTAATTATTAAAACGAATTCAAAACAATGGTTCCTGAAGTTTAGCAAAAAGAGAAGTACAAAATGTCATCAGACATCTATTCATTTGTAGTTAACATTTACACGCGTTTTTGTAAAGATCAAAAAATACAAAGTCCGTTTATATTTACTTTATACAAGGGGATATAGCACAACGGTAGTGCATTTCCTTTCAATGAGAACAATTTTAGGAAAAAGATGTTGGGTTCGACTCCCATGATCCCCATTTATTTTTTTAAACAAAATTATTTGTTATAAAAATGAATATAAATAAGATTTGTTAAAGGTTTATTTTTATATCGTACTGTGTATTTAGCCATTGTTTAACTGAAAAAAAATAAAAATAAAAACAAACAATGAAGCTGGTCCATTGAGTAGGATTTTAAGTGATAAAATTTGACGTTTTGTGCTTTATCTCTTTAATTTAATGTTATTAATCAAATTAATCAGTAGTATTAATATCGCTATGACATTGTATTACAACACCATTTACTTATATTCGTTAAACACCTGATGAGAAGTTTTCCAATCTTACCGGTTTTTATATTTTTATTTTTTACTACATAATCATTAAAAGTTTTGTTGTGTTTATAATTAACTTTACGATACTGTTACTGTTTTAAATAAAACACAATTTTTTTTCTTTTTTTTGAACTAGATATGATATACAAAAACTTACCTTGTGGCGACTCTTTTGAAATTCAAACAGTATAGAAACCAATCGCGCAAACAATAATTTATAGGTTTTTCTTTTTTCTACAATTTTTGGAAATGTTTTAATTAAAACACCAATGATATTGGCGTTTTCATCAACAAAAAATTTTAAAAAAATGTTTTATAAAAGAAAAAAAATGAATCATAAGGTTAATAATAATATTTTTTGTGCTTAACTGTAAACTATTTCTATACAGTTCCTTTTTATTTATATTCTTTGTATCCAATATGTTTTTGTTATCATCAGTTTTATCAATTTGTTGCTTGAAATTCCTACTTAAAAGACAAGTTTTTTTTACAAATTCTGCAGTGATATCTGAAACTTGTGTTGTGTTTTTTCGAGTAGTTATCCAACTTTATCTTGTATTTGTCTATTTTTTCTCTGTAAATTCAACTGAGCAATAAAAAAGTGCCAAATTTTTGTTTATTTTCTGAATTATCTTTAGAAAATTCAAAAAATAAATAAATCGTTTGCTCGAGTTGATTTCGACATCCTGTTGGTTTATATTTGATTGAAAACAAACATAGTTAATTTTATTTTTTTTGTGTCGTCTTTCAACATTTAAACTTGGGATTCATGGTAATAAAAGGGTTAAACGTATAAATCTTTTATACGTTTAACAAATCAGAATCATTGAGACTGTGTTTTTTTTCTTTGTCAACTTAGCACTCTTTCTTTGTAATTTTTTATTAAAAAAGTCGAGTTGTTTGTTCTTGTGAACCAACTCGTCTTTTTCAAGTTTAAAACTTAAATAATCTTATCACTTCCATTTTTGGCAAAAAGTTAAGCAAAATACCCGAGTCTTTATGCTTTACAATTGTTGATAGAACACGTTTATATATTTAAAACAATTAAGTCACATGACTTGCTATATATTATCAGTGTTTTTATTCAACTTGGTGAAAAACAATGAATAATAATATGGCATTACAAACAATGACATAAATAAGGTTAAAACTATTTGCTTAATCATTTCATTTATAAGAAAATAAAAACAGTGGATTTGGTAATGTAATTGAACATAAATAACGGGAAATTATTGTAAACAAACTTCAAATAAAGTTATCATTTTTTTGAAAATCAACGACTTGATAAACTGGCTGTCTGAAACTCCATAATTTTCTTTTCGACGTCACGACTTATCTTATTGCTTTGATTGTCGTTATTTTATATTTTCAGTTATAACAGTTCAATTCATTGTCATATTTGATCATTTAATGTGTATTTGGTAATATGTTTACCAAAAAACAATATTGAAAACATTTTTTATTTAAGTCGAGTACCAAATGAATCGTTTTATTTATTGATAAAAAATTGGATAAAACATTTTTTATTGTGAAACGTTGATAATCGATTTTTTTGTTTTTTTGTTTTTGAGTGTATTTTTTGAGTAATAAAAAATCAACCAATTATATATTGATAAATAAAATTAACAGCATAAATTCGATTTACCGACTTATATTATTCAGATAATTGTAATATTGTTTTTCATGTCATTTTATTAATCTGATTAATCAAACATATAAAAAACATGAAAAAATAATTAAAAACACATGATAATGTTTTTTAAATGAACAATAAATTGTAATTTGTTTGATGTTGCGACTGTTATTCCATCATTCAGATATTAATATCACTCTTTTAATTGTTATTTTTATGACTAACGTTACACTGATATATTCACGAGACATCTATGTCGATAACACCTCGGGCAAAGACACCAACACTGGTGAATCAAAAATATTTCCATTTGAATCACTTCAAAAGGCGCTTTCAACACTCAAAGACACTCCCCCATACGATCCAATTACTATATATGTCAAATCGGGATATTACCCATTTATTAATGAAACTCTCTCTATCACACACAACATTCCTGATCCTTCTGTTTATCACTCTTTAACAGTTACTAAATATCCAAATGAATCTCCACCAGTTATCACAGGTGGTGTTAAGCTTCCCATTTCATCTTTTCGCGCATTGGACGCAACTAAAGACGAAAAACAATATTCAAAAATTCAATCGAATGTTCGAAGCAAAATCCGAGTGTGTGATTTTAATAATCAATACAATAAAATCGAGTTGGGCATTTTAGAAGCGACTAATAGTGTTGAAATATTTGTAGATGAACAGCGGTACCACTTGGCGAGGTATCCAAATTCAGAATACACTGACAAGACACACTCAACTGATCGTATTTATGTCCTTCCACCAACTGATAATACAACTTTGTTGATACCTTATATTGCAGGATATTATTTCCCACTAAAAGAGGTTATGTGTGCAAATTACCCTCTTTTTAAAAGCGAAAAACTTATATTAGGCATCCACTACTATCTCTATAAAAACACAACAAATTACTGGACTATTTCATCTCGTTATGATTGTGGAATTCCAACACAAAAAGATGGGGCTTATTGGACTATAAAACGCGACAAAATAGCCGGCGCGTTGAACCCCATAGAATTCTCTGGAGCTCATGGTAAGCCAATTCTTCAAGACGAAAATTACGTGTACAGAGGTAACATGTGGACTGCTTATGCCCCCGACCGATATGGAAGGACATTTTATTACAGTGATAGTATCATAGATAAGTATGCTCAATATCAAGAAATCTGGCTGAGAGGGTATTGGCTCATCTTTGCACACGACCAAATTGTCCGAGGAAAAGTCGACAATTCAACACGGAAAATTACCGTTGACAGAGACTTTGGGAAGAACCCCGACTTTCAAGGAATATTGAGTGGAAGACCTTTTTATATATTTAATTTACTTGAAGAGTTGGATGAAGAGGGGGAGTACTATATCGATTATGAAGACAGAAAACTTTTCATATATCTTAAAGAGAACGCAGCGAAAATATGGATCACTCAAAGCACATCTAATCTCATTCACGTGTATAACGTGACAAATGTAACAATTAAAAATATTATATTTGAATATGCAAGAAAAGACCTTGTCCATTTTACACTTGTGAATAATTCTAAAATTACTAATTGCAC